GTTGACATTTGTACATTAGTTGCAGCATTTTTTGCATAAGCTGTTTTTTTATGGTTTGTTTAGAACACAAAAAGGACTGAAGATATACATGAGAGTGATGACACAAAAAATTCATGACTCACTGGTGATATAAATAGACACTACATTAAAATAAGCTATCTCTTATGTACAGTATATACTGAGTGGGAAGAGTATCCAAATATTGTTACATATATAACCATTTCACGATAACACCTTGTCTATGAATGAACCTGTTCAGAGAGTTATCACTGGTCATTATGCCAGTAGAAATATGATATCTTGGATAATATGTACCATAGTTACATCTATCTACAATAAATAGCAGGCGCTATAAAAAGAGAAAGGCGCGTAGGGAAGAAAACCAAAAACATAACATCAGAAAAAGAAGACAGCAAGCACACAAAAGTACAAGATAGCTGAGGTTGAAAAAAACCTAAAGAAGGGTAAGCAGTGGAAAGGAGGAGCATTGCCCCTTCTGGACTCCCCTAGGACTCAGGAGAATCTTCCCAGATCCAGCTGAAAATTTTAGTCAGGCAACTATAAATAGAAATAAAAATCTACAGAGGATCGAAAGTAGTCCCAGTGGAACCATGCAGTTGGATATAGTTCAGATTAATTCACTTCCCAAAAAATAATGTCTGCTATGGATAGTGTGTTTGGTTTTGGTTTTGATGTGCTTGGTTTTCGCCAATGCTAATGGTGTGAGCTGCGGATAGCATAAGATGTACAATATCTTTTTTTTATAGATTTAAAGGATAAGTTCACCTTTTGGACAAAAATAATAAATGCACATTTTTTTTTCAAATAAAAAAGAAGTGCATTTATTATTTTTGTCCAAATGAGCATGGAAAGCACTGCACCAGCGATCAGTAGATCGTTGATGCCATGCAGGTCTCCTGCAGACCTGTCAGAATATCTGCTTGCCGTATGGGATGTACAAGCAAGCAGATATTCTGACAGGAAGCTTCAATGAACTAGCACATTGCTCCACAGCGCTATGGCAGTTCACTGAAAACTACAAGCCCCCAGAACACAGTGAATGAGTGACGCGGACGTGTGAGCACTACTATCAGATAATACAGGGAAACTTCTCCCCGTACTATCTGTCAGAGGGAGGGGGAGGGGGGGGGGGTCATGTTACATATTTTACTCTAAAAAATGACTTATCCTTTAAATGATTCACAAGATTTTCTTCCAGAAGGGAACTATTAAAAGACGTGTGACCCAAATGGGACATAGTACCAGCACTAGTTAAACACTGCCAACATCCATCAGAATAGGTGGATCAAAACATGTAGATTATTAGGTCATTTGTACCGCTGAGATTTAATTTTCTAGTTTTTGATGCATAGCAGATATTGAGGGTTTGTGTGCTAATACCAGCTATTTATGACTATTTATGACTTATCCTATGTTCTCTCTTCTACTTTGCCATGCATGAGGATAATGATCTTGAGTAAAAAATTCAATGCATTGAAAATATGTGGGTTGACTTCTGCTCCTGTAAAAGGCAACTCTCAAATTCAGTCATCTCTGCATGGGAGAGATCAATTATACAGAATAAATATAATTAGAGAGTTGACATCTCTGCAGCCAAATAGATCTGTCAGATACCAAAGCTGGGGGCAAGGATGACAGCGGGTAATGATCCTTATTAAAAAATGTTTGGGTGATCGTAATGTTATCCAATCTACACAATGCTAAAAACACAAGGGAGTGCATAGCAGGAGAGATTTCAGGATTTGAGAACCAGCGAGTCATTGGACCTATTTGAATGGAGAAAATGTCCTTGTAGGTAGTCCCAGACCCTAATGGTAGAAGATGGGCATATCATCTAATTTAGGGCAGAACTGGAGTATCATCCATAACAATGATGTCAGTTTAAATTACAACATTTATTCCTTCAAAGTAATCCATTGTTTTAAATTCACATTGTGGAATCAATTCACTAATTTATTTAAAATTAAAAACTGGCACTACATAGTACAAGTTAAATCCAGAGGACTTAGATCTCCAACTGGTTTAGACCTAATAAGAATCTGTCCAGCAATCCTGGTTCACGCATGCATCTATGCAAAGTCATAGAAGCATAAAGGAGGCTGTAGTTGCAGCATTTTCGAAACAGTACATGTCACATGTATGTTATGTTTATCTATAAGAAAACAAAACTATTTCCATACGTTTTATGGCCTGATTTATATTCACATTTTTAAAACTATATTTATATCAGTAATTTTTTGGTTTTCTGTACTATGCAGATGCAATTTCTACATTCATTGCATGTTTCCCAAATTTAGCTTCTAGTGGTTACAATACTTTCTAAGCACAGCTGCATGCCAAAAAGCTACAATAATAAAGATTGTATGGGTGTAATGAGAGAGAGAAAAGTATATTGAATGTGAAAAGTAAAAAGCTTCTATCAACTTAAAGAGTGATGTATTACTTAAAAACCCTTACTATTTTCCTTTTTGTTCTGCATAATTAAAAAGAAAAAAGCTTTACAAAACATACATACATCATGGAAACACTATTTTAGTGCATTCTTTACTTTTTCCCTGTTATAACTGTAAAGTAAAAATATACTATTTCTTAACAGGTCAATACAAGCAATACTGATATTTTTGGTCATGGTTGGATAGATGTTGGTAAGCTGAGCCAACAAATTGCTTGTAATATAATCTTTTAGAGACATGAGTAATGGGATATCTTTGTTGGAAATTTCCTGACCAAGGAATCTTTTACCTCCTCTTAGAGCAAAAGGATTCTCAACCCTCCTACTGCACTTACTGTAGTGTTAAATTGATTAGAAAAAAAAAATGTATATATATAAATAAACGGAACACAAAAAAGAAATATTGTTAAAAATGAAAAGGGCTAGGTATTCTAATATTAAAAAGCAACATGATCTTCCTGTGGAAATAACTACCAAGCAATTTGTTTCATAGTGACCAACATATTTAAATCTAAAATTGTGCCTTTATACCTTGGCACTAGTCCCAACTCTAATATGCCAATGTTGATATGCCTTTCCAGGTCAAAATCATAGAATTGCCCTTCCAAAAAAGGAAAAGTTGTTTTAATAATAGTAAACAATATGTATTAAACAATATGTATTACACTGAGAAAATGCTTGATGTCATGATGGTAAATAAAGAGAAAATTTGATGTTTGCTCATAAAGCAATGCAATAATCAGGACTGTCTCTTCAGTCTTTAATATATGGATTGAAATGAAAGATTTTTATACAACCCTGGAGGATTAGGATTGTATTGGGCCAAATCTTGAATTGAGATGATCATTTTCTCATCTTTAAATAAAACAAGTAAAATAAACTAAATTAAAAAATCTTTGCACAATAAACATATGTAGTAATACATATGTTGTATTACATATGTATACATAGAATATAGTAATATTCTAATTTTCTGAGATTATGGATTTGGGGTTTTCATGAGCTGTAAGCCATAATCATCACAATTATGACAAATCACGGCTTGAACTATCTTGCTTTGCATGTAATGAGTCTATCTCATATATTAGTTTCACCTTTTAAGTTGCATTACTGAAATAAATGAACTTTTGCACGATATTCTAATTTTTGAGTTTCACCTGTAAGTAAATATATCCTTGAAAAGATACAAGGAGCAATTAAAAGAAGAGAAGGCACATGTCCTCCATGTGAGCGGATGTGCCTTACAGAGCTCCTGAAGTGATTGTTCCCTCTGGCACACCTGCCATTCTCCTGGGCTCTTCTACCAGTATTATACCATTGGAAGACTCCTGGGAAATGACGCAGGAGATCCATCTCTGATATGACTCATAAAGGCAATGGCAACACAGCAGCTCTTCATCTGGAGTAAGTCAGTGTAGGCCTAGAAATGCTGAGATATCTAAAGAGGCTGCAGCCAAAACATTTACAAAAATGTGTGCAGATGCCCTCTAAAGAGATACAGATCACAGCAATGTACAGCCTGCATTAATTGCTGCTGTGACTGGTGATTGCCTTGAAATAGAGGGCCTGCAGAAGGTTGACATGCCAAGCTTGGATGCAGTACACATAAGACACAGGTTCTGCGACCACTGACACATTAAACATCTAGGGTGATCAAAGGGTTAATTGTGTGTCTAGCCAGTGTTTTTGTGTGTACAGTGTGCTGTTTTTACTAGGCAATCTGCTAGATTTTATTCCCTGACATAACATGATTCCCATTGACATAACACAGCTCTGCCTTGTTTACATAGGTAGAGCTGTGTTCTGTCATTCTCCTCAGCGATCACCAGGTGCCAGTGCTCATCCATTGGTTGGCACCTGTTGATCAGCTTCTGCTGTGTCCAATCACAGCAGAAGTGGTTCTCCGGCAGCAGGTGTGCGCCCCCATCCCCCCCCCCCAGTGGCGGAATTGCAAAATCACATTTATATATGTGATTTTGCACAGAACATCCGCCCTGTAGCAGTAAATCTGCTATAGGGTGGACAGCAAGTGGTTAACCCCTGCCCAGCCAGTGTCATTAATACAGTGACAGTGAATATTTTTAGCACTGTATTAGTGTCACTGGTTCTCACAATGTGTCAGTGTCAGATTGTCCACCGCAATATCGCATTCCTGGTATAAGTCGCTGATCTCTTCCAGTAGCCTCCCTAGTGGTCTGATTATGTCAGTATTTCTGTGCTTAAGAGTCTAGTAAACATCCCGGGTATGATAAAATTTGAAACACGCAATCATAAATTATAATTTAAGCACTAGCCTACAGGGCACTTATACCCCCTTCATGCCCAGGCCAATTTCCAGCTTTCACTTTGAATGACAATTGCGCGGTCATGCAACACTGTACCCATATGAAATTTTTATCATTTTTTTTGTGGCAGATAGAGCTTTATTTTGGTGGTATTTAATCACCTCTGGGTTTTTTATTTTTTCTTGAACAAACCCAAAACCACAGAAAATTTTGAAAAAAAAAATGTTTTTTCTTAGTTTTTGTTATAAAATTTTGTAAATAAGTGATTTTTCTCCCTCACTGATGTGCACTAATGAGGCTGCAGTGATGGGCACTGATAGGCTGCACTGATGGATACTGATAGGTGGCACTGATAGGTGGCACTGATAGGTGGCACTGATAGGCGGCACTGATAGGCGGCACTGACTGGCACTGTTAGGTGGCACTGACTGGCACTGTTAGGAGGCACTGATAGGCAGCACTGATGCACACTGATAGGCGGCACTGATGCACACTGATAGGTGGCACTGACTGGCACTGATAGGCGGCACTGAGTGGCACTGATAGGTGGCACTGATTGGCAGCACTGATAGGTGGCACTAACTGGCACTGATGGGTGGCACTGACTGGCACTGATGGGTGACACTGAAATACAGCTCAGATGGGCATTGATATGTGACATTGATGTGGCACTGATGGGCACTGAAATGTGGCATTGGTGTGGCACTGATGGGCACTGGCAGGTGGCATGGATGAGCTCTGAGAGCTGGCACTGATGGACACTGACAGGTGGCACTGCTGGGGCTATGCAGATCATCAGGGCACACTGATCATCAGTGCTCTGCTGATCTGTGTACATGTCCCCTCCGAGGAACTCCGATTACCGGCTCTCCTCTCCTCATGAGCTGTCAGCGTGACAGTTGGTGGGGAGAGAAATGCAGCACCGTATCGCAAAAACTGGCCTGGTCATGAAGGGGGTAAATCTTCCAGAGGTCAAGCGGTTAACAAGCACCTAGGCAAGCTGATGAGGATACTTTGTAATTCTTGACCAACAGTATACTCTTACAGAGGTCCTGTCAGCTATACCTACATGTAAATCCTTTGTTCATCAAGTTAAAGACCAAATAGGAGGTAGTGGAGAATCAGTCTTACTGCTTAGGCAAGATTTTCAAAAGATCTGCAGAACTCAAAAGGAGAGTGAGCTATTGATATTGAGGACAAAACGGTGCCTCTATCCAGAGAATCAGCCTCAGCTCTCCAATTGGCTAAAGCCAACATTATCAAAATGTAGTAATGCAACAACATGCATTGTGGTCTTACTTGAGTGAGTGGGAGATAAAAGACTTTGTTTCATTCCCAACAACTGCTATTTCTCTCTCTAGCTGTTGAGTTTAAATAAATCCCTTTAAATTAGCTTTCATTTGGTTGCACTATTAAAGGAAGATGGACGATATTTATTACACAAGTATAAGAAATGGCTGATGGTACACACAAATGATGTACTGTACTCTGGAACAAAAATAAATTAAAAGCAGCATGTAACCAGAGAAATGAAATATGTTTCAATTAACATAACAATTGTTCCAGCAAAATATCAATTTACATTTAGATAAGGTAATACATTGTTTATTTTTTGCCACTCATTTTCTCTAGATGTAGAACTAATATGATTTAATGTATTTTCATTCTTTTGTTAAAAAAAAAAAGAAACAAAACAAAATATACCTTAATGTGAACAAAGAAAAACACATTGTTAAAAATAATACAAATTAACATATTATAAAACCTACATTTGATAATCAAGGTACACTCATCAGGGTATAACATGGCGACTAAATATAAGCACAGCAATCATTTCTTTAGTCTGAATTGATGCGCCTGTTCACATAAAAATAAATAAATAAATAAAGAGAAAATGTTTCAGGGAAATTTTGCATTACTGTATTGCAATTTTGAATACTGTAAGTTAAAATTTGTTGCTCTACTTCATATTTCACTGTTTCATTTTACACTACTTTAATGAATAAACCCAATTATGTGGCTTGATAAAATATAATAATACTGACATTAAGGCAGACATGCTGCTAGAGTGAAGTACTCACAGCAAACAGACTTTTATTTATCTTATTGACTGCTATAGGTTACTGTACTTTGTACTTCAGCTTTGCTTTTAGCGCTGTCTTATTGAAAAAAAAAGCTAGTCTTTTTTTTTTTTCTTTTTTCAAGGAAATTATTTTAACAAGAGATGAGAGCTAAGGCCTCCATCTCACTAAGCTAGACAGAAGCATTCTAGGAACAGATGTTGCTCAAGCTTAAAGGACAGCTATGACCTTAATTTTTTTACAAATACATGTAAAATAGATGGGATCAATGTTCAGAATTCTATCAATTGCTTGTGTTTTAATGGCTTCCAGCCCTTAGGCTGTATAAATACAGCCTCCAGTGGGAGCAGTTGAAGCCATGATCCCAGAATCAAATTTTTTCAACCAGCAGCCAGCTTAGTTGTTAAAGTGAACAGAATGGCTCTACCAAGGGTGGACTGACAACTTATGGGGCCCCCGGGCAATAGGGGATCATGGGGCCCCTGTGTCCTTGCCCAAACTCAAAAAAGCCTATGAAAAAGGTACCAGGGGCATCTCATGGGGCCCCCTACTGACCCCGGGCCCTCGGGGCAGTGCCCGAGTTTCCAAATGGTCAGTCCGCCCCTGGGTTCTACAGATGCCTAATCAGTTTTACAGAGCTTGGAATGGACCCCACCATCAACTGCCAACTGCTGTCACCAGGCACTTCCACTTCCAGCAGGGAACCCAGGACCTTAATTGGCTAACAACAGAGGAGAAGGAGGAACATCTGTTCCTCCCCCTTCTCTTTGGCCAATGAAGCCAGAAGTTATGTGTATTACGTCACCTCTGGTTTCAGTTCACTTGGCAGTTATTGGCCAGGGAGGCAGCTGATCAAATCATTCTGTGTTTAATTTGCTGCTTTGGAGGACAGAGGAGAGATATGGGTTCTAATAAACCCCAGCAATAAAGTTGAATAAAAAAAAAATGAGAAAATGTAAAAAAAAAAAATTAAATAAAATATGTAACAAAAAAGAGAAAAAAGTAAATGCAAATGTGCACATAGGTCCCGTACGCATACCTAAATGGTGATTGTATCACACATATGAGGTATTGGATAGAACGTCAGAGTGAGATAAAAAAATACTAGTGCCAGAGTTCATGTTCATCTTTAAACTGACAACGCCTTTGCGTTAAAGTGGTTGTAAAGGCTGAATATTTTTTTTGCATTTTATGCATGAAGGTAAAAAATCTTCTGTGTGCAGCAGTGCCTCCAGCCCCCTTAATACTTACCTCAGCCTCATCACGATCCAGCAATGTGAATGACAGCTTTAGCTGTCCTGGGTATCTGCCTCCTCATTGGCTGAGACAGCAAGTGGGAGCCATTGGCTCCCACTGCTGTCAATCACAGCCAGTCAGCCAATCAGGAGAGAGAGTGGGCAGGGCCAACCCACAGCTCCATGTGTGAATGGACACATGGAGCAGTGGGTGCCCCCATAGCAAGCTGCTTGCTGTGGGGGCACCCAACTGGAGGAAGAGGCTAGTAGAGCCTGCTGGGGACCCGAGAAAAGGAGGATACTTGCACGCAGTAGGTAAGTATAGCCATTTTTGTTATTTTAAAAAAAAATAATGAACCTTTAGAATCGCTTTAACTAATGGCATTGTCATAGTTCTGCATAACTCTATTGCAGTTGCAGTGAGTCTCAGGATGATTGGCCAACTATTTAGGCTCCTTCTGTTTCCTATTTCCTTGCCAGATTATAGTTCTTCACACATAATTCTGCCTACTGTTCTCTGATGTCTTTATTGCTACTTGCTACTAACCTTGGCTTGTGACTTCAATGCTGATTCTCTGTTGCCTACACTAACCCCCAGTTTGTGACCTCGAAGCTGATTCTCTGCTGGCTGGTTTGGGACCCTGATGCTGACCCTGTGCCTTGTGATCTGCGCTACTTGATTTCTGTTTAACTACGATCTGTGCCTATCCTGAATTTTCTGGCCACCGGTCTTCACTTTCTACAGGTACATTCCTAACACTTCCTCTAGTGTTCTATGCACTACAGAAAACAGAAAGAAAATTGCAGTATCCATCATTGTGTCTTCGTCTTCCCACTCAATGTATGATCAGGGCAATCTAGGCATATACTGGGAACAACAGTCATTTATTCATGTAGTGGAGAGGGATGATTGCGAAAGAGAAAAAATGTCACTGATCTTAGGCCATTTATATTAGTACAAGGAAGGCATACAGTAAAATACTGAGGATTACACATGATATTCTTTAGTGCTGCCCTTAAAAAAATAATTCTGGTAGTTCTCAATATAACAAACAACAGACAACATACCTGAGTTGTAAATGGATTTCAGTGTCTTAAAAACATGTAAAGTCCAAATGAACTTCCAGTTTAAAAACACTTAATATACTTCAGGTGTTTCAATACAAAAGGCGTGCAAAGTCTGATATAGCATGTGTTGAAAAAACTGTTTTCTGCCAGCATGCTCTAGAGAAAGAATCTTGTATTTTAGCTGATTAAAACGTAAAAGTTCAGCATTCAGTTTCTAGGTTCACGATGTGTTGCAGTTCTGCTCACCTCCGGCATTAAAACTAAATATCAGTGTACTGAGCAATTTATTTTTGCCTGAATCAAACTAGCAGCAGAATAAGCAGTGCAGGGATTTGTTGTGATAGATCTCACATTTGGTACTATTAAAGTGTTACTAAACCCACAACAGTAAAATCAGTCTGTATATGCAGTAAAGCATGCTTGTTATACTCACTGTGGAACCTAAGGGGTTAATATTCCGCATTGTGTAAAAAGGCTGTTTGATCATGTCTTCTCTGATTTTCCCCATCTTTTCTATCCAGAATCTATCTGCCAGTACAGAGCAGCAGTGGCAAGTCTTCATATGCACTGTTTGGTATGTATTGGTAGAGAGCTTTTCTTTGGGGGGGGGGGGCATGTGATCGTCACAGGGCCAATGTCTGGACAGAGGGTCAGGGGTCATGAAGCCTCATAGGACAGTCAGAGGAGAATGAAAGCCCCTCCTACAAGATTAACCAGTGCTCACTAAATAGAAGTCACAAGACAGAAGAGAAAATGTATTAGGCAGCTTATATTTACTAAAATAATTGTATTTCCGTGTTCTGTGTTCTGCGTAAGACCGGATATAGTGAATTCAGGGTCCTGAGTTTACTAACACTTTAAGATTCTGATGTGTCTACTGCATTCTCTAATACTGCTCCGCTCTACTTAGAAATGCTTTCTTACTTTCCCCCTTTGCTTGACCCATTTGCACAGAGACTTAACTTTAACTGAATATTGTGAGGCATTGGAAGGCAGGATTCTGGATGGGGTTTATGTATCCCTGAAAATTCTTACATACACATGATGAGGGGCTCCAGAGTTTATGATTGATATGAAGAAAACAAACTTTCTACATTCCCAGAATTATACGTTCTCCTCTGGATCCTGGAGTCCCGAGGCTTTGTAGAGCAGTGGGTAGGATAAACCTTCTAACCTGATAGCTAGACCTCATTATTAGTCTCAGCCAGCTGTACACAGATATTTATACTGTATATGTAAGCTGACTAATGCTCAGGGCTCTTTATTGCTGCTGTGGGAGCCTACTACTAGGTGAAAAGGCTGAGTGCTGACAGAACACTAAAAAGGTACAGCCTATGTGCTATGGGAAATACATTACAGTTTACCTTAGTCAGGACCTGATTGAGTTTA